TTCTCTGCTTTCCGGCTACCAACAAGTTGGTGATGGCTTGAGTTCATTGGTTTCGTTAAGGAAAATGGTTTTGGTAGGAATAAGACCCGACAGGTTCAGTTTCATTAGTGGTCTCGGGGCTTGTTCTATAGAGGGCTGTAGAAGAAGTGGGAAAGAGATTCATTGTCAGGTAATTAAAGGTGGATTTGAAATGGATCTTATGGTTGAAACGTCGCTGATTGATATGTATGGCAAGTGTGGTAGTGTGGACTACGCACAGAGGGAATTCAACAGGATCATTTACAAAAACATTGTCGCTTGGAATGCTATGATTGCAGCCTATGTCTCTAATGCTTGTTTCCATGAGTCATTCTCTTGTGTTAAAGAGATGCAAGAAGTTTTTAAGTTGAGTCCAGATGCCATTACTATGATAAACTTGCTCCCATCTTGTGCACAAATGGGAGCGGTCTTGGCGGGTAAGTCTATTCATGCTAGTGCAATCAGAAAAGGGCTTCTCCCTCATCTAGTGTTGGAGACTGCTCTGGTTGACATGTATGGAAGGTGTGGGAAGTTGAAACTAGCTGAACATATCTTTGTGCAAATTAATGGAAAGAACTTGGCGTCATGGAATGCAATGCTTGCTGCTTATGTACAGAATGGACAGTACACAAAAGCCTTGGAACTGTTCCAGAACATTTGGTATGAATCTCTTCAACCTGATGCTATAACAATTGCAAGTGTCTTACCAGCATATGCTGATTTAACGTCCTTGAGTGAGGGTAGGCAAATCCATGCTTTTATTATAAAATTGGGGCTTAATTGTAATACCATCATCTCAAATTCAATTACTTACTTGTATGCCAAGTGTGGAGATCTCCACACTGCAAGGAGATGTTTTGATGGCATGTTATTTAAAGATGTTGTCTCATGGAACACAATCATTATGGCTTATGCCATTCATGGGTTTGGGAGAATTTCCATTGAGTTGTTCCATGAAATGATAGAAAATGGCATTGAGCCAAACAAGAGCACTTTTGTTTCCCTATTATCATCTTGCAGCGTTTCTGGCATGGTTGATGAAGGGTGGGAATACTTTAATTCAATGAAAAGAGACTACGGTATTGATCCAGGAATAGAGCACTTTGGTTGCATGCTTGATCTTATTGGTCGAACAAAGAATCTTGATCAAGCTAAGAATTTTATTGAAGAAATGCCATTTGTCCCAACTGCAAGGATATGGGGTTCTTTACTAGCTGCAAGTAGAAAGAGCAATGACATAGCATTAGCAGAAGTTGCATCCAAGCATGCTTTATCATTGGAGCATGATAACACAGGGTGTTACATCTTGCTTTCCAATATGTATGCTGAAGCTGGGAGGTGGGAAGATGTAGAGCGTGTCAAATGTCATATGATGAGACAAGGCCTAGCAAAAACAACCGGATGTAGCGCGGTTGAGTCAGACTATAAAATTCACAGGTTCATTGATCAAGACAGGTCAAATGCTCAGATGAACATGATTTACGATGTGTTGGATAGCATCTTGAAAATGACAGGGGAAGAGAAAGATGATTATGCTCGTAGTATTACTAAGCTGAGACCGAAAGATTTGACAAGGAAAAGACCAAACTCACCCGAGAACCACAGTGTAAGATTGGCAATCTCTTTTGGATTGATCTCCACGGAGGTAGGGAGACCTGTTCTTGTCCGAAAAAACATTAGAATTTGCGAGGATTGCCACAATGTTGCAAAGAGGATTTCAAAGTTCACTAAAAGAGAGATAGTAGTAGGAGACCCCAAGCTGTATCACCACTTTCAAGATGGATGTTGCTCTTGTGGAGATTATTGGTGATAGCTGTTGCTCTGTAACCCATCTAGCTACAAAGATAAATTGTACACAAACCTCCTATACCTATTGTTAGAGACCAACGACAAATGAGCAGATTAACCAGACATTGTACAGATCACTTGAATAGCGATAAGATTTCCCATTATTCCTATAGTTTTCTTACCACAACTATACATTCTAAGACTGTTGCACTAGGATTACAAGACATGATTTTACACTTCAGGAATCACATCACATGGGCAAACATCCATCCCGTTGAAACATTTCATGGTCATGACTTTCTCAGTCTGAATTTTCCCCTTCCCCTTTCCTATTTGACTGAAGGAATACGAAGACAAAAACCTTATAAAACGGAAAAAAGAAACCGAGTGAGAGCTAATCAAGTGCGAAAATAAAGGAAAAAAGTTTCTTACGCGGGGAAACATGATTTAACATTTCCATTATCCCCACCGGCTCATGTACGTCACAAACGGATAAAGATAACAGGCGAACAATTTTGTTCACAGACGACCACCCAAGCCCCTCGAAGGATTGGCGAACTTTCCTTTGCTTTCTTTTCCTTTCCCGTGACGTGCCACATTTTGGTTTGGTTAAATCAAGAGCAGAAATTAAAGGCTAATATAACACCAAATCAAATGCTAAACCCAATCAAGCACATTTGACTGTGACCCAACAGGCCAATAGGCAGAGCGTTGCTTGAATTTGTCAAGGAAAACATCTTTGTCACATTAGGGCCTGTCATTTACTGCTTTTTGTATGGTCAAAATCTTCAGAATTTAATTCGTGCGTCAAATCTAAAAATAATTGATTGATAATTGACAAAACGAGTTTTATTATATGCATATCTTAATATCTCTAGTTTAATTGATATAGGATTTTTTTTATTATCATGTTAATTTTTCTATTAGATAATAAATCTATCACAGAACTTATATTATGAAATGAGTAATCATCTCATCTAAAATCAATTAATAAATGATAAATTTGTTTTATTATATCTATATCCTGAACGTATTTTTAATTTAATTAATATAAATTTTTTTATCATCATTTCAACAGTCGTAAATAAAAAATGACTTCACGCCATCATCATAAATAAAAAATTGACAAAGCATTTGATCAAACCGAACGATCGAGAGAGAGAGAGAGAACCGATCCCTAACATAGTAAAAATAATCTAAAGTGGAGAATTTGCGAGTGATGTTGAAGATTAATCACCAAAAAGTCTAGGGTTAATGACCTATACTCCAACCCATTTGTCAAGGTTGCTGCATGGTGGGATACACCTGTTCTGTGCATGTAATTAAGAGCAAAATTGATGCCTTTATGAAGGACAGATGGAATGTCAAAGAACAGAATAAAGAACTGACCTAACCTAATACCATAAATAAGCAACCCAAACACTGCAATTGCTCAATAATTTAGACTGAGTACTGTGCTTTTGCAGTAAGAAATTGTATTCACTTTCACAAGAACATGACAAATTCCCCTTCTCCTCAAACCGAGTAACATTGAATATTTCAATGATATTTTCTCTCTGTAGTTACACATGCAAAGAGCCAAAAGAATTATTTCCCTAACCCAAGGAAAAAAGGAAGAAACCCGAAAAAGAATCTCTATTTACAAATTGAACCAGTATCTACCGGTCAAACCGCAACCTCCTCTGGAGAGGGAAAAAAAGGAAAAAACAAAGGCGAGCTGCCTTCTCAATTTTCAGTCAACTTTCTCTTCATCATCGTCATAGTAATCGTCGTCATCATCAAGAACCTCTTCTCTCCCCTCCCAAAACGCCTCCTTGACGTTCCTCCAGACCACATCATGTAGCCACAAGACGCACCCACATTCACCGTAACATCTTTCCTTAAGCCTCCCGAACAAACCCTTTTCTCCGACCTCCGGTGGACACGACATGGGCTGCAGATAAGCCAGCGCAGCATGTTTGACCAGCGGATTCTTGATGGGAATCTCGTGCCAACTAGAATTATGCGTCGGTGAAGTGATGGCTGGAGGTGATGTGGGCAACAAGTCTTTTAAAGACGTGTAAGAAACTGACTGTATCGTGATCATCTCTATGTCTGAAATCTGAGATGAACCGAAGCCGTTGTGTAGAAGAAAAGTTGATGAGTGAGACTTTGTCGAGGGATGATCAAGTTTTTGGTTGGCTTTTTTGTTTGTGTTTGAGTCTACAATTATGGGAGTATCCATGAATGAAAAATAAAATAAAAGGATAAAATTGATAATAATAATAATAATTGCTATATCTGTAAGAGCAAATCTTGGCTTGAAGCCTCGTAATACGAGGTTGGTTTTAATGGCTTATCATTGATTAAACACACTAGATTTGGAGGAGAAGAAGACTAATCTGTAAGAATTCTATGGGAATGGCAATAGATAAAGAAAGAGGATTTTTCAGAATATTTTTACAAAAGTTGTTTTCTTTGTTTAAGGGTGAAAAAGAGAATGAAGAGTATTTCACATCTAAGGTAGGAGCGTGTATTAAACAAACCAGTAGATTAAAAGCATTTGTCAAATAGACTACGTTGCCGCGTGGAGGAAAATCTAGACTCGTGGAATCACAACTGAACTAAAATTTAGTTACTAGTTTCAGATTCTGTATATTTATTGTTTTTGCATTTACTTACATGAACTGCTCACAAATATTGGGGGAGAAATCTCAAGAATTTTAAGCAAAACCAACACTAATTATCAATGAAGAAATCTTTAATTTTCTGAGTCAGCATTGTCATAAATGGGTAAAGAGTTAGTCTCAAAGCAATGCCAATAGCCCGTTAAGAGCAAGTAGCAGTGATCTCCAAATCAATCAGGATTTTTAGGAATCCTTTTTCCTTATCCCGATAGAAACTTAACCAATGGGGAGAATTTTTTATGTTGAGACTCATTCAGAAGAGGGAGAGAAAAAGAAGTTTTTTTTTTTTCGGTATCTATCATTTTGTAAGAGTAGAGAGGGACAGCGAAAGGCTTGGCTGAAAAGGTGGGTGGGAGCTGCCAAATTTGTGTTTATCGATTCTTGGTAAGGGTTATCTTGAAATTGGCAGATGTTATCTTAAACTAATTATCCACCATGGATTTCGAAGCGGGCATATTCTTCATTCAAGTGCTGATTACTCAAGGAAGGCATCATCAACAAACTGTTTAAAATGTTTATTAAATGAATTGTATATTCAAACAAGAAAAGAAAATGCTATATTTTATTGGAAGCATTTTGGAGGAAAATTGCTTCTTTATTATGTCTAAATGATTTTAAAGTCTTTAACTTTCCCACCTGTGTTCCTGTAATGTACGGATTTAGGCTTGTTGAGGTCCTAAGAATTGGAACCATAAGCAGAACTTGAGCCCAGTCCTTGTACCAAAAAACAAAAGCCCAATCCTGAATCCGCGAATAGAAACAAGAAACTGTCCCTTGTGGCAGACCGCTCCAAAGTCAAAAATGGGTGTCAGCCTCAGTGCTCAATTCTCAGGCAATCCTATCTTCGTGGAGATGGTAATAGAGCAGTCAATTCAACCGTTGTGATTGCTCGTTTTAAGGACAAATGTAGAAGCTGTCATGCCATGGAATTGTAAGAGTGAAGAGAGTTGCTTTGTTTTGTCGAAAACAAATCCAGAAAACTGGAAGAGGAACCGAATGCAACTCATTCTTTCTGTTGCCTGTAGTTTATTTGGCATCTCGAGAACCGTCAGATCAGATCATTCTTCAAAACCCAGACTCCCATTTGTCGAGATCTGACTCAAGGTTCCAGCTTTTAGAGCTTGTACCAGCTTCCCTTCGCTGTTTGTCTTGTCTCTGGTAGAAATCGAAAAGGACACGTGCACGAAGGTACGACACGTGGTGGGCTGAACTTTTTGTCACGTTTCTTTCATGCTGACACATCGCTTACCTGAACTCTTATCAACTCTCCAGGAAAAAATCAAATGCTATTGCAATCCCTCCTTCTTCTTTCATGGTTAGTTTCACTGTCCTGCGCTTTTTGATTTTATAATTGTTGGACGTTCTGGGTTTTTTCAGTTATCAAGGTAATTTTTATGTTTCGTTCCTATGCTAATCAGTCATGTCTTTTCTAGTATTTTAAGGGTTTTTTTGGGTTTTTTTTTTCATTTTTTTGGGTGTGAATTAAAATTTTTATTTGGTATACTAAATAACAGCGGTTAAAGGTCAATTTTTTTTGGCAGAAATGGGGTTATGGGAAGCAATTTGCATTGATATTTTGAGTTGTGTTGTATTCCGGTGACAAATTTCGTTCAAAGTTGCTTAATTAGTTGGAACATGCACTGTTCATTAATATCTCTATTGGGTTAAACAGACATGGAGTTTTTACTTTACGAATCACTGGCAGGCTTTTCTTTATGTTAAAACTGTTTGTTGCTTCCTTTGTTCATTACTTGTGTTGTCTGAATTATTAAGAAGATTAGAAGATGCTGTGCCTTAGTATTTTTTATGCCATCATTTGTTATTAATTCTGCCATTATCTGAATCTATAAGCAGTAGCACCATGGTTTTCCAAATTATGTGTTTAGATTTGAATGTTGCTTGCAGAAACAGAGAAACTCATTAACTAGGCAAACCCCTGCTGAGATGGTGGAGCCGAGCAATGCTGACTATGTGGAATTGGGAGAACGTTCTTCCCCCAAGCTAGATAAGTACCAAAAGGTTTCTATTATACCTCTTGTGTTTTTGATCTTCTATGAGGTCTCTGGGGGCCCTTTTGGTGTTGAAGATAGTGTCCAAGCAGCTGGTCCCCTTTTAGCTCTTCTTGGATTTTTGCTGGTTCCGTTCATATGGAGTGTCCCGGAAGCGTTAATAACAGCAGAATTGGGTACAATGTTCCCAGAGAATGGTGGTTATGTTGTCTGGGTTTCATCAGCTTTGGGCCCTTTTTGGGGTTTCCAACAAGGCTGGATGAAATGGTTGAGTGGGGTTATTGATAATGCTTTGTACCCGGTTTTATTTCTGGACTACCTGAAATCGGCCTTCCCTGCTTTGGAAGGAGGTCTGCCAAGGACAATTGCAGTGTTGGTTTTGACTCTGGCTCTCACGTATATGAGCTACAGAGGTTTAACTCTAGTGGGTTGGGTGGCAATCTTACTAGGGGTGTTTTCACTTCTCCCTTTTATTTTCATGGGAATCGTGGCAATTCCCAAACTGGAGCCTTCAAGGTGGCTTGTGACAGATCTTGGCTATATAGACTGGGGTTTATACTTGAATACTCTCTTCTGGAATCTAAACTATTGGGACTCCATTAGCACTCTCGCAGGAGAGGTGGAAAATCCAAGTAAAACTCTTCCAAAAGCCCTTTTTTATGCTGTTATCTTAGTTGTTTTTGGATACTTTTTCCCCCTTTTGATTGGTACTGGAGCAATTCCACTTGATCGCAAGATGTGGACTGATGGATATTTCTCAGACATTGCTAAAATGCTTGGAGGTGTCTGGCTGCTAACGTGGATTCAAGCTGCAGCTGCTCTATCAAACATGGGAATGTTCCTTGCTGAGATGAGTAGCGATTCCTTCCAGCTTGAGGGAATGGCAACTCGTGGGATGCTTCCTGAGTTCTTTGCAAAGAGGTCTCGCTATGGAACCCCTCTGGTTGGGATTTTATTCTCTGCATCTGGTGTTTTACTATTGTCATGGTTGAGCTTTCAAGAGATTGTAGCTGCAGAGAACTTCTTATACTGTTTCGGAATGATTATGGAGTTCATAGCATTTCTGAAGCTAAGGATAGACCATCCAGCAGAATCAAGGCCATTCAAGATACCTGTCGGTACGGCTGGAGCAATTTTAATGTGTATCCCGCCTACCGTACTAATTCTTGTGGTTTTAGCCTTCGCTTCTTTGAAGGTCATGTTAATTAGCATGGTAGCTGTGATAATCGGGCTTGTTCTTGAGCCTTGGCTGAGGTATTCTGAGAAAAAGAGATGGCTCAGATTCTCCATGAATGCTGACATCCGTGACTTTCATTCTACCTATCGGTAGTGTGATGAACCATGATTAAGACATTGCAATTTTCACTTTCCCATTTTGCTGTGTCCGAAACGTGAATGTAACTCTGAGCCTTCATCTCTTCTAAGGTAATACAATTATATCTCAGAATGACATGGCCGCTGTCACATTTGGCATGAACTAAAATGGAATGGTAATGGTAACCTTTGGATTTGATTCTGCTCACCATGAACCGAAGTCCACAAGCTTTTCATCAAGGTGAAAACCTTATTCTTCCTAGCATTGTCTGTTGACTGGCCAGCGTAAACATTAAGCTTAGAAAATCATGTACTATAAAACAGAAAGACCAGGTGAAGAGACCATAGAGTATGGATTAAGCTACAACTTGGTCAATAAATTTATGAAAATTAGGCATCTTGAAGATTTAATAATGAAAATTATCTGTCAAAATTAATAGGACTAATTGTAATAACTTTCTTACCGATAATGACTAAATATTATTACAATCAAAGGTTAATCCTTACCGTCAATGTCCCATGGGCCCAATTTCTTGGGCCTAAGGGAATTCCCCTTAAAATGTTACAGTTTGGATTTGGGATACTCTGAAAATCAACCGCAAAAGGCTAAAACCTATCCCTTTGCGAGCTAGCTTCTCTGGGTTGAAGCTCGAAAGACAACCCAAGGCTGAGCGTCTTTATCTTCGTCATACGAAACAAAACGGTACTGACCAATTCACTGTTTGCTTTACTTTCTGGGTTCTTTTTATACATTGCTTTCTGGTAACTTATGACGTTTCAGTCATTATCTCTCTTTTGTTCTTCTGTGGTTCTTAGCGTTTTCCGTTTTAGCGGAGAAAATCAGCATGATCAAGGATTTACATTAATGGTCGGATGTTTCGGAGTTTTTGCTATCTGGGTACTTGGTATTTTGGTCGCCCAAATTGAAACGATTTAGAAATTTGTAGGTGAATCTTATTTGATTGATAGTAAAAAAGTATAACATTCGGTTCTGTATGTTTCTTCTTTCCTTGCGCAGTAGGCAAGATTATCATAAAAAAAACAAATCAACTTTGGCATAATGGTGATTGCTTCCAGGTTGCTGACAAATTGTTCAGGTTCCTCTTTTTTATTTCATTTTCCATTTTTCAATGTTTATGAAGTTTTCAGATTTTCATTACTTTATGATGCTTTGATTTCTGCTTTTGATTTTTTTTTTCTCCATCATACTTTTGTAGGTTTGGTTCATCCAAGTTATCATAAGCTATCTTTCCAGCTTCAGAGATACCAAAGAACTAGATGTACTTATTACAAACCTTATCCATCAGTTTTTGAAGAGGTAATCTTTATCTATTATATTGTCAGAAATCCTGTACCCAATTAACATGTTAGTGCTGTATCTGCTCATTTAATGTTGGAATTGGTTCTTGTAGATTCCCAGAGGAAGTTTTCTTGGGAAGCCTTATATGAGCAGGCATGTCATGTCTGTAGGAAGTAATCGACACCGGTTAAGTTTTGATGATGAATTACCTGAGGAGCCTTTCTGGCTAAGTCTGATCAGTGACACCATCTGGTAATCTATGTACTAAGAGTTGCTGCCGCTTTTTTGCCTCTCTTTTCCCCATTCGATTCTCTCCCATCTCCTGCTTTCTAGCATCTTGTATTTTTTGAGGTATGTCATAGATTATACTACTTCTGGGTAGTAATCGGTTGAGTAACTATTGTTTTATGCTTTTAGGGGTGTAAGATCTTTGTTTGCATTTCTGGTTGAGCAACCTAGTCAACTGAAATACATAGAGTGGCCAAGCTTCCAAAGCACAGTAAGTATCACTAATTCAAGTTTTACTTGGAAGTTGAAGCATTATGCTTACAAAACAAGCTGATTTATATGCTCAAAGTTTTATATTTGCTTCATCGACTTTTTGCAGCTGAAGACTGCTACTTTAACTCTTGTTCTTGTAGCCATGCTCATTGTTGCTCTATCATCAGTTGACTCTGTCCTCTGCTATGTTTTAGCTTTGTTGCTCAGGAGAACCACATCATAATTGAATTATTCTCTCAAAAGAAACACATTTAGCGTAGTGTATACATTCCTTCAATGCTACATATTGTTACCCATCTGCTTTAAAATCTGCAGAAGAACTGCAAGTCTATTGCAAAGGAAAATGTCATCAGACCAGCAGTTTATGATTACCTGATAGTACATGTAGTATAATTTTGTTTTGTATACCGTCTCGTGCAAATTTAATGTTTATGTTTATTCTTGCCAAGTAGAAATCAAGCTTTAGTGACCAAGCACTGGCAATGGCCAATGGTATCTCGAATGCAATTTCATTAGCCTTAACCCTGATTTGCCTGGACAGGGTGTTCAATACAAAATTGTTTACTAGAAAATTGAAGTGCAGATACACAAGCATGCTACATGTTTTACACCCTTCTCAGTTCTAATCCTACACCATTGCTTGAGCTCATTTACAAGAGATACACATTTCTTTTAAATCTCTTTGTGGAGTGAAAAAGGTCTCTTAACAAAAGACTACAAAACAACAAAGAAAGCAGAACCACTGGTCCGACCTTGAATCCAAATGAACCAACCATGGTCCTCATGTCCTGTAAGCCTACGATGAGAGCAGGACTCGGAAGACTTCAACTTGCTCATTTTCTCGTTTGCCGTAAAGATGACGTACGCAGGAAAATTGTCATCAGACAAGCGGCATCAGGCTAGTTACCTGGCGAAGACACAATTACCGGATCATGGACGTCATGTAATTTAGCCTTAGATTCTGAAGAAAAGGAAAATGAAAAATGAAGGAAGAAACTACTTTGGCACAAGAGCAGGTCACATTATTTCTTGTTTTTGGTTAACACTCGAATTCCAAGTAACAGCAGGTTTAGATTTGTGCGGATTAGGAGTAAATTGGTGCCTAGGCTTTTCATAGAACGATTGAAATGTTCCCACGGACCACAGAGCAGAGCGCCTGGACTTTGTCCCTATTCTCTTCAAGAATAAGCATCAATACAATTAGTGATATTTTTACTAGTACAGGAGGAGGAAAAGAAAATCAGGCAACAGGACGGAAGAAGCTGATGAAAAATAAGCAGGAAGAGAAACAAGCAATATTAGTACTACATATCTCTTCTATTGTGTCGAAAACACTGATGCCCACAAGAAGAGCTAAGCAAGGCTGATGAAGATTACCAGGAAAACGAGTTCTGAGGGGTAAGAGGGACAGTAGAAGGAAAGATGCCATTTAAAAGAATCAGAGTAGCCAGAATTGTGCTTGGAACCCGGACGGTACAATTTCCATGAATTCATGAAAAGACCAGGGACTAACATTTATTGTCCCCGCACAACTCCAATCTCACTGCTGGAAAATGCAGAAAAGAGATTTATCATGCTCCACCCTCCAATAGTATGTTACAGACTGAATAATACAGAAAACACCCAAAACTTCTAATAATTAACATCTAAAGCCCTTGTACAAAAATCTGTGGACATCACAGACCAAAAACCCTATATCTAATTAAATAATCAAAGTAAGAGAGGAAAAAAAAATCTCATCAGTCAAAAATAACGAATGCAATGCTTGAATCAGATACTTTAGCCATCCTTCAATTACAAAATACCAAAGAAAACACCCTCTTGAAGCTTTGAACGCTGCATTCCCGCATGCTACATCCATACACAAATTTGTCAGCAGCTTCACTACCCCCTCAAACCAAGCACCACGGGGACAAAGCCGCCTTGTTCTAAGTTCTCTAAGAGGTGCAAACTTGTTCCAAGCTTTTTCAATAAATTAAGGCAAGAAGCTGATGCTTTGCCAGTGAAAAATCATGACCACTTACGGATCTTTGCTTATATGAATCACAGCTCCAATATAGTCAAATAATGCACAAATATACCAACACTACTGATGCTGATAGACATCTCTGAAGAACCACGGATAACGTAGAATAGTGACAAGCATGGGCAACCAAAAAAGATCTTATACTTGATACTTAGAAAGTTTGTCCTTCACTGGTGGCTCCAAAGCAGACATACACTGGTCCCACGCCCCATTCCTAAGCATCTGCAAGAACATTAATTTACCGACTCAGTGAATGAACCTAGTCTAATGCATTTTATGATTTTGTAACTAACTACTAGAAAAAATATAAATCATCAAAAAGTACTCAAGTTCCCTTGTTTATTGGATTAGTAAAAAAAGAAAGGAAGAAGAATAAAGAAGGGAAAGAAAAAGAAGTTTCAATCAATGCACTAAACAAGATATTCACAGCAATAAGGTAACCTATATACCTGTAGGAAAGAGAATTTTTTGCAGAAGTATACCCAGAAAGAAGTAATGCAAGCAATAACAAAGATTCAAGGATTATTAGTATTTTAACATATATTAAGATACAATATCAGCAAACCACTAAATTCCAGCAAGAGCAAATAAAATTTTCCAAAGTATAATCATTTAGGCATTTGCTCTAAAAGCAATGCCTACGGGGACAAAGGCCTACCTGTTTATAACCATGCAAGACCTGACAAACTTCATTATGTAGTTCTTCACTCCTTATTTCCTACAGACATAAAATGACGTCAAAAGCTCAAACTTTATTTTAAAAGATACAACCCTCAAAAACAATATATAACAGCATCCTTACATGCCAGCTTGCAATAGCTTTGCACATGAAAACAAGTGAACTCAGAGCCCCTGATGGATTTGCCCTGACCTGAAAACGTTTAGTACCACCCAAGCATATTAGATTATAAATTTAACTGTTAATGAAAAATATTACAAAGGTAGATGCATACCATTGCACATAGACCTCTGAAGGCATCCTCTTTCTCAATATCATCACGTATCCTGCAACAAATTGTTTGTCAAATGGGTTGACATAAAGACAATGCTAACAAAGTAAGAACCAAATTCTGCTCTACTAAGTGTAACTAAAGGTACCTTACCATAGCAGTAGCTTAACTGTACATCAAGAAATAATTTAGAAGTCAGGAAGATAAATTAATACTTACGTAGACAAAGAAATACACCATGACTGCATGAAATGCTCCATGTGTGGCGATACAAGCTCTGGACAGACCCATGCAAGCCTCCCAAGTGTAATTGCACTATTTTCAACAAGTGACTTGTTGAGCCCCTGCTAATCATACACAGATGAGATTTTCGTATCGAAACAACTCATGCAGGAGCTAATGCACAAACACAGTTATGCACATGTGTTCATGCATCTCAACAAACTTCACCAACAGAAAGGGAGGATTACCTCTGCATGCTGAAGGATTGGAACCAAACATGAGATCACTGTCATGACAATCGGAGAAATTTCTTGACGAACCTGAGATTAAAAAGTCAAATAATCACTTACGACATATGAGGAAAGCATGTCATTAAAGCAACAAAGGGGGTGTCAACTCATGAAGAAGCCCTAGTCAACAAAATGGTAAACCTAATCTAATCATCAAGCTGCAGAATGAAGACCTCACATACCTTGATTGCTAGCTCTCCAATAGCCCAACATGCATTGTTTGCTACTGAAACCATTTCCTTTAACTTGGGAGCGTTCTGTATGGACATATACTATGTAAGAATATAAAGATGGCAAACTGAGATTTGGAGTCCCAAAATGAGTCCTTACCAATTGCTTGGCTGCAATATCAAGAAATTCAGACAAACGAGGATGCAAATGAACAGTGCAAACCTGATCAAAGTCAACATCAGAATAAGTTAGATTAACTACCTAATCACTATAAGAATGCAATTAAGAAGTTTCAAGTGGATCAGTTGGGACATGCTTAAGGCCTATTCATCAAGAGAATTACAAGCTTCATGTCCCTAGAATCCCACTAGTCATGGAAAAAGAGGGAAGGGTGAAATTTTATTTAGCCTACAGCTCTAAGTTAGAACAACTGGTCGATTCATTTTTAACTTACTCTTGCAAGGTCCCCAAGAAGGGCAAAGGCACTTTGTCGAACATCAGAAGCATCATCCATGCAACATTGCAAAAGCAGGTCCCTTAAATTACTCTGTGAAACCTGCACAGAATAGGTCCACATGAGCAAAATAAACATCATGGTTGACATTGTAATATAGCATGTTTAACTAATCTTTAATTTAATAGTTAATGGCGATATCCAGTTTGCAACTCCAATATCCAGAACAAACGGACAAGTCATCAAAATGACAATTAGACTTTCATAAATTGAGAGAGATACAAAAATTTTAAAGGAAAATGTAGTGTAAAAAAGTTTCCTATATGAATATTTCCAATTTGTCCAATGGCTACTTAGCCAATCAGCCAATAACAGAGAGTAATCACTAGCAATTTAGCTTCACATTAATCTCATTACATAGAAACTTCCAACAGAGGTGCAATTCCCACTTTCGTGCAGGATAGGAAGAAGTGGGGGTTGGGGCAGGGGGGGAAGGGGGGGTGTTTAGGATCACTTCTCTTTTCATTAAGAGTGAAGGAGAAAGCATGTACCAAACTCTCAATTCCACTACCAAGGCCCTCTGCAAGTCCAGAAAGCAAATCAAGTGAGCATACAATAAACTCCTTATCATACTGAACCCCAGCTGAAACAGGATCAACCTGCAATAGAAATTCCCATCAATGTCTTCAAAAAGTAATAACTATGCATGTTTATAGGTCAGAAAGACAATGGTATGCAAATAGAAAAGCAGATTGCATAAGATGAAAAATCATGCATTCAGAGTATCACAAAAACTCAGTTACTTGAGGTAAGATTCGAAAGATAGAGATCATGTAGCAACTTACTGGTTGATTCCTCAGATCTTGTAAGTTTTAACCATAACAATATGCAAAATTTTTTGACATATGTGAAAATGCAGATAGATGCACTCAATGATTTCTCTCAACATCTATAGTATCCTACCTGATCAAATAAGGTAGATTTGAATATATATTGTTAACGCAAATAACAATAGAAAGCAGCACAAGTTGAAAGAACTCTACTTAATAAATACTATACAATGAAATTTAACACAGGTCTTGGCTAAGCATCTTGATATATCAGAAACTAACACAAACTACCATTCTATTACTGATAATTAAAGATAATAACATGATGAAACAGAACAGATGTTACACAATAAAGAAAGGCACTAAACAATATGCTGCTTGATTGAAGAGATCAATCATTGAGTACAAAATATTGACGAGTATCAGCCAACCATGAAGGATAGAAAGCACAAATGAACAATTAAACTTGAAAATTAAAATATAAATTGTTGATTCTAGAGTATTAAAAATTGAATTTATCAAAACCTTGG